TTCTTGACGATCTATTCCCGCGCTGGCAAACTTTTATTGTGGTGGAATTTAATCGGGGCGGGGCGGAGGTAATTTAAACGGGGCGCAACGATTGAAACAGGGGGGAGTTTTCCCAAACGGGGCGCGCGCCCGTTTGCGCAACGTAGGGAGAACCCTGTTATAGTACAAAATACATACACAATAAGTTTTTTTTTTTTTAAATTATATTGAATTAGGCATCCAGTTACGATTATTTTCCAAAATTCATCCGATGTAAATTAGGTTACCTAATCAGACAAAATATCTTGATGACATCGGCAGCTTCAGCAGCTTTAGTTGTCTCAGAATTTAACAACCTACAACAAAATGTTCATCACCGTTTTAATGTGAATATATTTCCGTATATGTATATACTCGTGTATAAAATTAGGATCCTTTGTTGTCCCTGGGTCAAGATACTTTATTCTTTTTCTAAAAGATTAAGTAGCCAACTTCGAACATGGACATCAGATCCTGCGAGTATTATCTTATTCAATATAATATATAACTTGTAATTACCTTGTTTGCAGTTTGTAAACATATATATAAATATATCTTGTTGAATATGATTAACTATAGTCATAATGATGCATAGGTTCACGATAACATCCAATTAATGGCTCACCTGCTTTCTGACGAAAATTCTCTTATCGAATATGAATCTGTAAAATTATATAAAACATCTGTAATACATAATGACAGACGTTCTATAAGTATATGATGAGAGATATAACTATGAGTACTGAACTGAATTACCAGGCTATGACTAAACTAGATATACAGCAATTATTTCACAAAATTACACACTATAAAACAATGAATGGTTTATTGGGTTTAGTTGTTGTTATACTTTGATTTACCTTCATATATATCATCTGTTAATTTTGCTCTTACATTCAGTGTTTTGTTACTCTATAGATATGCTCTTTGATATTACTATTGATTACTCGTTGTCTTAAAATGTGAGTTGTGTTCATATCATTATTACTTGCTTGTTGCTCAGTGATACACAGTTAGGGGGTAGCTGCTTTGTAAAGGTCTAGTGTCTGAAAACTATTACTCTTATATATGTTGTTAGTGATTTTAAAACTTCTTTCAAATGTGCCTGTTGTAGTACTGTACTTTTGCAATGTTATTTCTAGCTAGTTACAACTTTTGACATTTCTAATTTTAATTTGTGTGTCATTATTCAAGATTTCCTCTGCTTTCATTTTCCTTGTTTACTTAAATTAAAGTTTGTAATGTTTTTCACATGGTATCTGCATATATATTTAAAATTAGAGAAGAAAAGCACTGGTCAAACTTTCACATTCTATACTACTGCACTATTACTATCAGGGCCGTAGTGGCCGCCACGGCAGCACGGCACTACCGTGCAGTAAAAAAAATACATGGGGGCTCGGGGCGATTTAGCCCCCGAAATGCCAAAAAGAGCCCCGGAAATGCCAAAAAGAGCCCCGGAAATGGCAAAAAGAGCCCCTGGAAATTTGCATAGAGTTCAATGCAAACCAAATTTCAAAAATGAGCAAAATCCGTTGAACCTGAACTGACTAATGGCAATTCCCATTTTTGCCAAAAAATTACCGTGGCTCGAAAGTACGTCGACTGGCGTGCTTCAAAATAGGACGTTTAATATGGGAACATAGCAGTAACAACTATACCCAATTTCAAAAATGTGGGCCAAACGGTTCCTGAGTTATCGTTGACCGTAGCGAAATGTTGACGGACGAACGTACGACGGACGACGACCCATGGCAATAGCTCAGCTTGACGATGTCAAGGTGAGCTAATAAAATCAACTGATGCTTTCTCGTGACGTGGAAACCAAGTCTTTTGTAAGAACTTCTCAACGATGCTATAACAGTAATAATCTCACCTGTCAATAGCTTGTGTCAGCACAAGCAATACCTTCCTGAGTTCCTGGTCACGGCAGCAGCTAAACACCATCTTGAAGCCTTCACCTGCACAGCAGACAAATCTAAACACAACTGACAATGCTCCCATCTCAAATAATCTGCATAAAGTAATACATAGAAGATAATTAGAAATTGAGCACTACTACCATGCATAGTCAGAAAAGCATAAGGCACAATACAACATTCACAAACATTGATCCAAATAGGCCATTAGGTAGACTGTAATCATATACTAGTAAACGAACCAGTGCTAAAAGGTACATGGTACAGGTACACTACAGCAAAGTACGTTTCTCCATTAAAAAGTCTTCAGTACATGTATTTGTATTTGAATTACATACAATACATTTAATAATAATAATAATAATAATAATCATGTGGCTATATCGAGGTTAGTTTCTTGGTACCTATCAGTGCGGGATGCACAACTCGCAACTCCTCTATTCCTTCCAGGTAAACTGCAATCTGGTTGTACCACTGGTGGCGTCGGCTATCACTGCTTGCTACACTTATCTCTCTAGAAACAAGAAGATCATAAGTTTACCAGATCCTTTACAGTTGGTTAGATTACATGGTGGCCTAATACTAAGTGAGTTGATAACATTCACGTGACACAGAAGACTAAAGTCATTTTATACCGATAGGCAACAGAAGGACATTAACAATCCAACTGTAATAGAAACAGAGAAAAGACGTTTTTTACCGTTCATAGCCATGCGCATTATCAGGATCAGGGAGGTAACTCACTTTCTGACGTGACATATTAGTGATGTGAAAAAGTTGGTGGGTTTACATCATATTCTAAGTAATAAGTGCAACTGATTTACCTGCAGGCAGCTGTAAAATACAATGACAGCCTGTGTGCTAGGCTAGAGGCATCTGTTTCTTTCTCTTCATTGATAAGACAGAGCACAAAGCATCCTCTGATCACCAGGCTGCTAACCGATTTCTCAGTTAATGGACCAACCATATCAAGCAAGTCAACTATCCTAGATGTCTGAAACATATTACGATAAAAGTAGGTGAGATGTTACAGAAGCTACCACCGAGAGATTGGCACATATTATTATGCACAAACATGCTAACGAAGTAAACAATACGTCTTATAAACTCACAACGTCCTCTGTGTCAGTCACCAGGGCAAGAGTAAGGAAGAGATTCAACAAATTGCACCAGCCTGCCTCGGTCAACTCCAACATCATACGATGATGAAATTTGGAATAAATTCTGTAACAGACAATTACAGTTAGTCGAATACTTATCCCACAATATTATTAAATATAATATCAGGAGTAGATAATAGGGAAGGAGTGTGACTTCAATAGACAAGGGAAATTCGTCATTTACTAGCCTTAGAATACCTACGATTTACTATGCGTACCAACTTGAGCTCAAATCGTTCACAGTACATTCGCCTAGCATCGTGCGAAATTGTTTCCTCATATACACCCGCGATCCGGAGATACAGACTAAAACGTACGACACGATTATCCATTCTGTTGCCATCAATCCGAACGTATTGTCTGCCTGACTTGAAACAAAAGGCAGCTACTAACGCTCGGCGATGCGATGTGGCTCGCTGGGAGATTGGACATCCTGTGGAATTCTCATGTCCTCAGAAAATGTCTGATATCTGATCTTTCCCCCACTGCCCTTTGCCCTGTAACCTCCAATTTTACACTGGTGATGGGTTTCCTCCCCATCACACTATACATCGAATATTAAGAGCGTAGGTCGAGCCATTGAGATTTGTGCCGGAATTCCGTATTTCCTCCTATACCTTAAGTTAAGGGGGAAATATTCACATTGACACATCTTGACCTTTGACTAGCCCCGGAAATGCCAAAAAGAGCCCCGGAAATGCCAAAAAGAGCCCCTGGAAATTTGCATATAGTTCAATGCAAACCAAATTTTAGAGTGCTATTTTCATCCACGCGAGCTTGAAAAGTAGCCCCCGAAAAACAAATTATATTTTTTTCCCTGCTGCCGTGGCACTATTTTGACAAAAAAAATTGTGCAGGGAACCAAGGAGCAACATATACCAGGGAGATGAAACCCCCGGGGGGGGGCACTCACCCCACATTATGGTAGGTATGTGCCACTGCGAAGTCAAAAATGGGGGGCTCTAGAACTAACTCAGACCTGAAAATGAGGGTCTCTGGAACTAATGTTTGTTGAATGTGGTATGATCTGGAACTGGCTATGTTCGAAAATGGGGGTCTCCGGAACTAGCTAGGATTTCGTTGAAATTCAATGCTATGAAACTGGACACGTTTAAAAGAGGGGGTTTCCGGAACTGTGGGGGGAACAGTGATTTGCTTTAAAATCTACATTCCTCTTTGAAATTTACAAATTGACCTTTTAAAATGATCAGAATTGGTTGCTTTCAACATAGCCTGAAAATGCAGGAAATGCCATTTCCAGGCTCTAAATTTCAAAATTTTTCGGGAGGAGTACCATGCCTGCCTGTGGCACACACCATAACCTCCACTCTTGATATCATCACTGGGTGATCCTACATTTTTCTGCAGTAGCACATTTTAAGGGGGCCACTACGGCCCTGACTATTAAAGTAGTAATTGGTCACTTTTAGTTGATTTCAAATTCAAGGTCTATTGATTTCACTTATTTGAATGAGCATATTTTTTCTGCAGAGTCAGACTCCACTGTGTGTTTGTGGTAGTGGTGGCTGGTGCCTGGTGTAGTGGTGTCTGATGGTACTGCTAGTGCTACTGCCACTGGCTCTGGTAGTGGTACTCGCAGTGGTACCCCGGGGGCACTCCATATATATTGTATGGTAGGTACGTGCCACGGTTGATCGCGGATTTGGTTATTTCGGTCGCGGATTGTTTTCGCTTGGCCCTCGTAAATGAATTGGGAGCTACGGTGTCTACGTCCTTTTTGTGCTCTTTTAGGCGGGTTTCAAATTTGTGGCCAGTTTCTCCAATGTAACTTTTGTCGCACATCGCACACGGTATCTTGTAGACACAGTCCGTAATATTGCGAAGGTTCGTATTGTCCTTCGGGTGTACTAATTGTCTTTTTATGGTCTCCAATGGACTGACGCCACACCCGCATTTCTGAGGTGACGCTGTACTAGTACTACTATGTCCGTGACCCCTCTGACATACTGTAAGACAAACATCACCTTAGGTTCCTCAGTGGTTGTTTTCCTATTGGTTGTGGATCGTTCCCGTGGAGTGTTCATCTCTTTGGACACTTTGTTAAGTGCCTAGCTCTAGTAACTATAGCCTGCGTACGGTTGCCGCTGGCTGCGCCAGCGGCAACCGTACGCGGGCTATCGTTACTAGAGCTATTAAGTGCCCAATTAGGGTAGCCACTATAGTCCGAGTTTCCTCTAACCAATGCCCACACCGACGATTTTGGTGGATTTAGTGTGGTCTAGCTAACCCACAGGCCACACCAAATCCACCAAAATCGGATTGGATTGTGATCAAATTAGATCGTGTGGGCATTGGTCAGAGGAAACTTTTTAACTTGGACTAGGTAGTCACATTTACCTAACGGCTAACGCGTCCTTGTCCTTGATCGCGCCTCCACTTTGATGTGCTGAATTACCGGAGCCACCTAATTCCATCTCTCAAGTGGTATATTACTACATACTATTTTCAATTTTGTAGGGAGTGCCCCCCAGGAGTGTCAAGCGTGGTACTGCCGGTGTCACGGTCTGAGATTGCACCGCATGCCGGGAGCCGGGTCACGGGTGCAATCTCAGACCGTGATACGGGCGGTGTCACACTACAGGCCTGCGGCAACTGTACGCGGGCTATAGTACTACTACTACTACTAGAGCTGAGAGGGTCTATGTCCCCCGGGGTACTGCCGGAACGTACCCTGGGTACGGTCCGGTATATTGGTACTATCTTATATGTCGCCTACGCCTACTCCCTAACCCGAACCCTAACCCTAACCATATCAAATAGTGACCAGGGTACGTTCCGGTATACCAGACCGTACCCAGGCCGGGCCTGGGTACCGTTCCGGCAGTACCCTGGGCCTGGGGGACATAGACCCTATGACTATGACTGAGCACTACTACTACTACTAGTACTACTACTTAGTACTATAGAGCTAGCAGTGTCATTGTCACTGTCGTGGTACTAGTCATGTGCAAGTCTAGCTCTAGAACTATAGTCTAGCTCCAAGAAACGGTATTGGCAGTGGCACCACTATTGCTAGCTAGGGTTAGAAAACCGACGTGTAGGCTATATTGTGACGTTACCAGGTACTCGTTAGCCATACACTGATACAGCATGGTCAGGTTAGTGCAAGTCTAAGAGTAGAGTACTAAGAGTAGAAGATTCTAAACTTGTTTCTCAATCCTTAAATTATTTAATAAATGCACGTTACCATTGCTTGGCGATAGCGGTGGGGTTAGGCTCTCAGACATATTACACAAATAATCTTGGCTCTGCGAAGCAGCTAAGTACCATCTACACAATACCAGCTGATACAAGAAGATCTACACAATGATAGCCTTTTATTTTTTAAATTCCCGGGAAAACATTGAACAAGTGAACAGCAATGACGTTATTGTCTCGCAGAAATTCGTCTCGCGTTATCGCATAGAGTCATAGACGGTGGGAGGCTGGTATGTGTAGAGACTAGAGTGTCACTAAGTGTGTAGTCTAATTAATTAGTTGCATTTTATTCTCTTAGAATATTAGAATGCGAATAATTGCAGAAATAAGTTAAAATGCATTATTACGGACTAAGATCCTAGCAGATTTAGTCTACTGCTTCTACTACCACTACCAGTGGCAGTGCCGTTCGCTGTGTGAATGTGAGTGACTCGGTGAGATTGACGATTGTTTGGCCTGTCTCAGTGTCTGTCAGTCTGGTAGTGTACTATGTAGGAGTGAAAGTGAAAGTAAACTCGTCCTTTACTGGCTTCAGCCGCATTTGCTACAGCCTACAGTACAGTAGCTCCAAGAAACGGTATTGCTAGGGTTACAATATTGTCCATTTGTCCATTGATAGACAATCCGTCGCACAGCCTGGTCGGTCTAACAGTACAGGAGCTTGTGCTGATAAAAATCGCGACTGCGGCCACATGATCATATGTATGATGTAATCATAGTGCAAAAACTGTATTGCAAATTGCAATGCTGTCCAATCTTGAATCTATACACCAATACTGGCAATAGTCAATACGGTACACTACACCTACGTAAAAAAAAATTTGGAAATGATATCATTTATTGAAAGTCGTGTGATAGTGAACTACGAATGTAGACTAGGATTCGCAATTCTCACGGTTATTGCATGATTGTATGTGACGTACGTGTGTTCCCTCTACATGAATGTTTCAGACTGTCAATCAGCAAGTGGCTCAGGCGATCACCTCCACACCAACAAGATGACAAACATAGTTTTGAAGTATTCACACTGTCTTACACCTTGCGATCCTCGTGCTAACCCTGTACTCATCATTGGCCAGCTAAAGCATTTGAATCGGCTTAGCTATGAGACTATAAAATGCAAGTTAGAGCATCGGGTACCAGAAGAGGTATAGTATACGTTTATGTTCACTCTTTTAGCTCAGCTGACGAAGTCAGATAAAGCTTGACGTACGTTCTTGATATTCGGAGGTCGGTGGGGGGGTCATGAAAAGGACTTGGCATGGCGAATTTGGGGGGTCAAGGGTCAAAGGTCAAGAGGTGTCAATGGAGGGGGAATATTTCCCCCTTAACTTAAGGTATAGGAGTAAATACGGAATTGCAGCGCAAATCTCAACGGCTCGACCTACGCTCTTAATATTCGATGTACAGTATAGTGTGATGGGGAGGAACCCCATCACCAGTGCGAAATTGGAGGTCACAGGTCAAAGGGCAGTGGGGAAAGGTCAGATATCAGACATTTTCTGAGAACATGGTCTAACGGACTGAGTGCAACTTTTTTGTTTCATCGCTGACCTACCATTTTTATCACTTTATTGAAAGGACCATGAAATGTACTTTCTGCTGACGTGCGAAGAGTTATAAGTGTCTGATAACCTTTTGACCCTCAAGAGGAGGATTAAACATGGATTTGTTGACTGTTAACAAAGGACTAAACTGCTTTTGCTATTAGAGCCCCCTCCACTCCCCCACCCTCCCCCCACCACCACCACTACGCTTGCGCTCGTGGCATATCCATGATAACATGTTAATATAGCAAAATCAATAAAGTTACACAGCTGTATCTTTATTACTGTACTACGGGTATAGCAGCAAATCCTATCATAGATTTTAGATCTGTATTAGTAGTATCCTAGATATATGCTCTTGAGCGCGAACGCGGTGGCGGGAGGGGCCCTTGGTTTGGTTGCCAGTGAGTTTATCAGAAGAATACCTGGCTACAGTACATGTCAGTTGAGCGCTGTCGCTCTGTAGCACTTGTTTCATTTCTGTCGTAAATGAAACTTTAAATTAATTGCAGAAAGACTTTATTTCTTTTAAGGAATTATTAGTTGAATGTATTCCCAATGAAAGATATGTTGTTTTGCTGAGGTTGTTAGCGTTTCTGTAGCAGATTTGCACGAGGCAAGTGCACATGCCCGTGAGCACTATACGAATGATGTCTAGTTAATAGTTAATGGTTTTGCCTGAAATTTAAGAGAGGTTGCAGTCGTACATGAATAGGCATTCCTACCATCGACCTTCCTCCTCAGTGATTAATGCTCTTATCGCCCGACTCGATGCCAAGATAATGACCGTTCTATTTCAGATTTTGTTGAGCATAATTAATGCAGGTCCATAAAGCCCTCGATTGTGGCGAGGGCATATGTCTGTTTGTCGAAAGTGTACATCGGTCAACATCTCGGCCGTTCAAGATTGGCTGGTCGACCTTCAATCACGCAATGCAATGACATTGTCGTGTTTGCATTGGCTTGAAATGTAATTCAATGCGAGGTAACGTTTTGTGTAAGCCCAATGTACACCATTCGGGTCCGTGAACTGATATGGTTCGTCGAGCAAAGTACGTGTCAATAACCAGCCGAGTTTGTTCACGATTTATAGCAGTGCAGCCTGTGATCACTACCACCCTGTTCGCGATTATGGATGTCTACAACCGTGTACAATATTGAGGGTAGGCAGGGTGTCGCATGCAAGTACAAGTAATGCAATACATTATGAGCGTTGTTTCGGGACCGTGTCGACTTACAGTAGATAGAGCGATCTCGTACAAATCTCTCTGTGTTGTCACTCACAATACGTGCTATCAAGTTCAACCAGCATCACTCGTGTAGTGTACACATGGGTATGTTAAAATTAGATTCTGTCAATGGTGAAAGTGTTCTCCAAACTTAATCGAGCTCAGAATAGAAAGGTGGCGTTACGAAAATGAGTGCACTGACTTACAGGTGCCAACCCTAACATGTACCGAAGCTAAATGGCAACGTGCACGACGTGTGTTAACGGTCTCGTGAGAAACAAGAACTGTCATCATGTAATCACAACAAGAATGCAACAAATAAAATGGCAATCATTACAGATTTAGGTGGGAAAAAACAATGTGCGCGTGACTGGCATATTAGCATTACTGTTGACACTTACTGTTATGCAAGCCATACTATAGTATACATGTACTGTAATGGTCGGGGAAAATGAGAGGACAGTCCAGACATGGGAATTTTCTGCCGACCACCTGGGTCATTTTTGAGAAACGTGCAAATCCGTTGAGATATTTTTTTGGGGGGGGTGTAGATGTGGGTGGGTGGAGGGTGGATTGAACCCTCTTGTGTGTCCCGCCAACAAAAGTCGAAGCAATTGCACTGTTAATTAATTGAGAAGAAATAGCGGTCTCGTCTACCTTCTCGATACAAGCGGTATTTATTTTTCGCGCACCGTTAGAAGCATCGGAAGAATCAAATTCATTGTTGCTAAAGACGAGTTGGGATGCCTTGGGCATCCAGTGTTCAGAGTTCTTCAGATCATCCATTCCCATGCCTGGAACAGTCAGGAAGACTATTGGGAATCCTTACTTTAATGTTATTGCATTATATATACCAAGCATCAGTCGGTTATAATCAAACTTGTATGGCTACTCAGGGGAATTAGCAATAGTAGCCTTTATAGAAAGGTGGCCATTCTGTAAAGCTGAGGCGTGTTCAGGAGACCGAACGCTCGCGAGCGTTTGCGCGCAAATTCAAAACGCTGTTCGTTCAGCGCGCGGGTTGTTTACAAGATGGCGACGAAAAATCTGGCGAATGCGAATCTAACATTTCTGACGTCAATTTGCAATCTATTTCAACTTTATTTCATTTTTCATTCATTCATTTACTTCTAAATTCAATTTGTATCAATTTCGTCTGCTAATTCGTTTAACAGTACTTGTTCGAAAACATTAAAATCTCGCGATTAAAATCTGCTGAGTAACCCTCAATGGGGGCTGCCATCTTTGATCAAGCGAGCGCACAGCGAGCGCTCGTGTGTCGTTCAGGAGGCGCTGCGTTCGTTCATCGAGCGATCGCATCGAGCGCTCGCTCTCCTGAACACGCCTCTGGTCTCACTGTGTAACTGCCACTTCACGTAAACACCAAAGTTTTTTTCTTAAAGCCCAGGTGGCGACTCTGTAGCGGTGGCCACTGATGCAAGGTTATCGATGGTAAAAAAATGTGCTACCACTGATCGGTACTTGATTTTGAGCCTTGAGGCCTTGAGCCACGTATTTCAGAACAGTCTTATCTGGCCGTGTCTACGTGCGTGTTTACAAGTGTTCTACGTACGCATTCACAAGTGTTCTATGTACGTGTTTGCAGGTGTTCTACGTACGTTTTCACAAGTGTTCTACGTACGTGTTCGCAGGTGTTCTACGTGTGTGTTCACAAATGTTCTATGTGTGTGTTTACAGGTGTTCTACGTGCGCAGGGTGCGAAATTAACACGAGTCCGGAGTCAAATACTCCCTGATTTTTTGTCGGACTCCCTGATTTGACATATATGCAGGAGTGCGTGTGACTCGCAAAAGGTTGAAAGCTTGTTTCGTCGCCCAAATACGTCACAGTTTCGGCTGTACAAAATTTAATTAATTTTGTTTTTAATAGGGTTAGGGTTATTTTTTAGAGTTAGGGTTAGGATTAGGGTTAGGGTTAGGGTCATAATGCACCTTAAAACAGGAGTTTGGGTTCGTATGGACGTGACGTCACTCACTCATGAACGAGCGACGAAGCAAGCTTTCAACCTCTTGCGTGTGACTCCATGAAAATTCTGCTATACTAACTACTTAGTTCGTTCCAGAGCACGGCTACGCGGAATTGCCGTATTTTTTCAGCAAATGTCCAAAGACAATTTGGCAGACGTGCAACTGCATGAATCTTCAAAATAAGCACACGCGTTATTACCTCTGCCAAGGGGTTGGCTGGAGGTTATGTTTTCACCGGCGTTTGTTTGTTGGTTTGTGGGTTTGGGGGTTTGGGGGTTTGTGTACAGCCTAACTGGAAAAGTTATGGACGGATTGTCATAAAATTTTCAGGATCGGTCACAAATGGGCTAACTTAGAATTGATGAGATTTTGGTGGTGATCCGGCTCCAATTAATTAATTAATTAATTAATAAAATTTTCAGGATAGGTCAGAAATGGGCTACTTCGAATTGATTACATTTTGATGGTGATCCGGATCCAATTAATTAATTAATTAAATTCTCAGGATAGGTCAGATATGGGGTAACTTAGAATTCATTACATTTTGGTGGTGATCCGGGGAGATATGTTTTGTTGTGTTGTGCTGTATTGGGTAGTATTGTGGCGTTTACTGCATTGTGCTGCGTTATATTGAGAAATTGTTGTGTGGTGTTGTTGGGTGGTGTTGTATTGTGTTGTGTTTACTTCATTGTACTGCATTGCATTTTGCTGTGTTGCATTGTGTTGTGTTGGGTTGTGTTATTTACGGTATTGTACTGCATTGTGTTTTGCTGTGTTGCATTGTGTTGTGTTGGGTTGTGTTATTTACGGTATTGTACTGCATTGTGTTTTGCTGTGTTGCATTGTGTTTTGCTGTGGTGCGTTGCAGGGAAATTTTTTTTAATTTCCCGGGGGCTTTTTTGTTGCCCCCAGAACTTAACAAATTCCGACGGCTACTCCTTTCAAATTTCCGCAGCTATTCTTGTTGGCGACCCTTCCGTGGACTACTGCTTTCCCGTCGGCTATCTATTTTTCAAAATTGTCCTGGGCTGACTCTCTATGCACTTGCAAGTAAAACCTTGTGTCTATTCACCAAAAGGTTTCAACAAACTGCGTGTTAGCCTCGCCACGTCTGTGGGCTAGTGGCACATTGCTGGCTACCGCTTGCGTGCCCTGCTGCCTAGGGCGGCACTTGATTGAAGTATGGGGAGGGGGGGCGATGTGCACTTGATTTGTTTGCAGGTCGCGTGGGGCAATGTTGATGGGCACGCGCTGGTGTGGAGAGAGGGCGACAGCAAAACTCTTTCGCTGGAATTGGAAAATCTTCGGAATTGGGCAATTGCTAGCGCTGGAGCGCCGAGACACTGGCTCAGGCATTGCGGATTTGCAGGCAGCTTGGCAGCTGCGGCTGGCTTAGTGTAACGGCAGTGGCAATGCATTGACCTTCCGAAGCGTGCGATTACGAGGGGCGATTTCGAACCGGGCATTTTTAGCTCTACTTGACAATCGTCAAGTTGAGCTATTGCCATGGATCCGTCGTACGTCGGGGGAGGGGGGGGGGGGGCGGGGGGGGGGGGGGCGGGGCGTGCCGTGCCGTCGTCAGAGCATTGTTTCGGTCAACGATAACTCAAGGAACCGTTGACGCCACACTGTTGGAAATTGGGTGTAGTTGTTACTGGCTATGCTCCTATATGGAAGCGTCGGCTATTTGAAGCGAGCGCCAGTCGACGTAACTTCGAGGCCACGGGCATTTTTTGGCAGAAAATGGAATTGCCATTAGTCAGTTCAGGTTCAACGGATTTTGCTCCATTTTTGGTAGTGAATGAATAAAACGCTATGGGGTTTTTTGATATTTAACAAAAAAAATTATGGGCGCAAATTTAGGTAGGGTCTTGCAATTATATAGCATATATATAAACCACAAACTAGTGTGGTGTCAGCACTGCGTGCTGTTGCGTTTTTACAAGATTTCCCCTTGACAAATATCTTTCAGTGCAAAGTTGGTATTTCCTGGCTCCACTCATGCGCGATAAAAGCGTCTATATTAGAGTATAAGATTTACAAACATGTCGGAAACGCAGCATAGACCG